ATTTTTTTATTATTCTGTTTACATCAATTTATATATTTTTCTAAAGTAATTTTTATGGAAATGTTAACATTTATTTTCTTTAATTAGTTCAAATTGCTTGATAACCTTCAGGACCTCCACACACTAACCCTGCTGCAAATCCTGTAGTGTCCACACTACAAAGAGTAAAAATGTTGCAGTTAATTAGACGATTAAGTGCATATTTAAGTGCTGATTGAGCATTAGTGATGAACACCAGCTGTTAAGAAGCAGAATCACAGAAGAAAGTAGATTCTGAACACAAGAACTACAACTGACTTCCAGCCACAGCCTTAAATGAAATCAATTAAACAAAATAAGACATTAAATCTCAGCAGAGGAGGATTAAACAACTCACTCATTTCTAACCAGATTGACTTTATTTCTGTCAGACGTCTACAAAAGTTGTTATTAAGAATGACAAAAGTTTAGACGTTGACATTCGAATGAAAATGTTTTGTTTGAAGTCACCATGATGGTGGTTGCTGTTTATTTTAGCTGGGCTCTCGACTTAAACTGTAACTCTGTTTATAAGACACGTTTGTTATTGCAAGAAAAGCCCAGAGAGAATGCGATCAGGAGATCTTGATCACTGCACACATCATGTGGTGGCCTGCTCTCATCTAGAGTCTAATCTTTGATTGTAATTTCACGCAATTGATTACAGAAACTGTGACAATGATATTCCAAAAGATTGTAAAAACATTTTGTATGTTTTCAGCTGCTAGCGTCTACAATAAATAAATATAGGCTAATCAATCAGTTGATTTTTTTTCAGAGACAGTACACTAAACATTTTGTTTGCGTAATTATGTTTAAATGGTCAAAGCATTCAACACCACAAACACAGGCGGAGCGCCTTCAGAAAGATGCGGAGAACTATTCTAAAATCTTTTAGAGCTGTTTGAATTCAGCTCACTTTATTTTCCTTTTATTTTAAATACAATTATATATGATTAGTTTGTGATTTTTATTAGTCATGTAACATTGTAAATAAATTAGCCCTGGGTATAACATATGTATTTTAGTTAATATGTTTATTAAGTAATTTAAAAAAAAAAGAACAGCTGTAAAATGTTGTGAACATTCAGTTTGTTTTTTGTTAATTACAGGAGTGTTGTTCAAGTTTTTCTCAATATAAATAATAAAATGCTATCTATTTTTTACTACCTGGAATATTTATTCCTCTTCATTTAGCTTGCAGCAAAGCGTTTTCTTTTTTCTTTTCATTTTGTTCTGCTG